ACCCTTTCATCAGGCGGTGTGAGTGAGGACAGCCCCGGAGGATTGTCCTCCAGCTGTTCTGCTAGAATGTTGTCTAAGAGTTACTGCAACCTCCAAGTTGTGAATGAGAGGCAAGACCATCTAGAGAGAGAACATTTTTCCCCCTTATCCAAACTCATGGATCCCCTGGTTTAGAAGAAAGGACAGGGTAGAGAGATTCCACTGGTTTCATTGGTGGTTGAGGGTGCCTTGTGTGGGGGAGGAGTTTCTGATGGGATTCTACTGACCTTTTGAGCTTTTCAGAGAAGTCGAGTCATTTGGAGTGGAGAGAGACTGACTGATATTTTTGTTATTTGTTATTTGTTTTTGGTTTAGTGTTTTTTTTTTCTCCCTAAGTGTGCCTGTCTTCCTTCCCCCATTAAACTGGGAGATGACTGAGAACAAGGAAAGTATCTGCTGGCTCTCTTTGTCTGGCCCCAACGATACGATTTCCAACAGACAAAATATGCCAATGATAGAAATGCAGTATTTATTATTGGCTTATTGAGCAGCATCTGGTCTGCCTTTCTCCCTGTATACATTCTTCCCTGAAGCTGGACTAGCTCAGACCACAGAATGGAAAGCTGCAGGTGTTGTTGGACCAAAGAGTGTTGCTGGGCATATGGTGAGCCCCGAGGTCCAAGCGGCCAGTTGGAGACTAGCCCAACTCTGGTTGGCAGGTACTTAAACTTTAAGCCAGATGGTGGCCATCTGGTAGTGTTAGGGATTGGAGGTGGCTGGAGGCAGTAGTGAGGAGGAGGACTTATTCAGGGGTCCTCATCATAGTAATACCCTCGATAGAATATTTTAGGAGTTGAGCAGGCCAGAGGGAGTGACCTGTTGCTGAGATAACCAGGTCATGCCTCCTGCCCCGAAGGGCTAGAATTCATTTAACTGCTGATATGTTCTGCTGTTCTTCCTTGATGACTTCGTTAGCTTGTAAGTTGCTTTGTCAGGGTTCCATATACTGTAAGAGATAGTCATAGGGATGATGAAGAACAAAGTGAGCAGAAGCAAGAGAATTTTATACAGTAGACAGTAACAGCAGTATTGTTTTAAGAACAGCTTTGAGCGACTAAGTCATTTTGACTATTATGAATACACAAATCAAAAATAAAGGACATATGAAGAAAGACACTATCTGTATCTAGAGAACTGATAAATAGAAATATGTATAGAATAATTATATATATATACATATATACACACACACACACACACACACCACACACATATGCACACATACCCCCATATGTATACATGCATATATACATATATAGGTACATGTACCTATATACATACATGCATACATATACATAAACACACATACAGATATACATATATATGAGAGAGAACAGGGAGGTGGGATAGAGGGGGAAAAAAAAGAAATTTGCTTGATAACTTTGTTGTATATTTGGAGAGACTAGCAAGTTGTACCTGGTAGACGTGTAGTTTCATGTGCAGTCGTCTTTTTTTTATTGTACTGTGTTATGGAAATGCTTGTTCTGTGAAATAAAACACATTTTTTAAAAAGTTAAAACATAATAATAGAAATTAGAATACTTAAATTCTAGTTCCTGCTCTGCCGCTAATGAGCTATATGACTTGACTTTAAGCAAGTCAGTACAGGAGGAGTGGGGGGAACAGCGAGCCAAGGTGGTGGAACTCACCTGAGCTCTCCCAATTTCTCTCCAGACAACTTTAAAATAATGCTTCAAAACACATTCTGAAGTAGCAGAACTAACACAAGAACAAGGTGAAACAATTTTCCAGCCCAATACAACTTAGGTCAGCAGGAAAAGTCTGTGTCACTGGGATAAGAGGGGAGTGTGGGTAAATCCCTGGCAAGCTAGTAGCAGGCCTTAGTAGGCAATTGAATTGGCTTCTGGAGCTCTCAGCCAATAGATACTAAGCGGGTCGGACAACTTGTCAAAAGGAGGTTACAGGGGACTCCTTGCTGACACGGGGGGGCAGGACTCTATTGCATTACTTATATGCGGTTCCGGATTGCAGTCCCAGGGTAAAGAAGAACGCTAGTAGGAGCAGGCACCCTGGTCGCAGGTCCAGGGCAGAAAAGGGTGCTTGCGGTCACTCACAAACCAGAGCATAGGCCAGGAGAGCAGTGACCACACCTTTCCTTAGATCATACCATTTTGGAAGAATTGAAAACTTACAGACCCCACAGCTAGCTCTGCAAACTGTAGCATGAAAAACCCTAAACTTGGAACAGTGCCCCCTCCACCCCAGGAGCAGAGCCCAACTTTAACATAAAGTTGAAAATCAAGAAATAAGCGAGAAAAGTGAGCAAGCAAAAACAAATAACCTGCCCACATAAAGTTACTATGGGGATAGAGAAGATTAAAACAAACTCAGAAGAAAACAACAGTGTCAAGACAACTATATCCAAATCCTCAAAGAAAACTGTGAATTGATCTCAGGCCCAAAAAAGAATTCCTGGAAGTGCTCAAAAAGAATTTTAAAAATCAAACAGGAGTGGTAGAGGAAGAATTGGGAAAAGAAATGAGAGATGCAAAAAAAAATCATGAAAAAAATGAGTAGCGTGGTAAAGGAGGACACACAAGAAAATACTGAAGAAACTAGCACCTTAAAAAACAGAATAGGCCAAATGGTAAAAGAGGCATGAAAATCCAATGAAGATAAAGAAATTGGCAAAAGGGAAAAAAGATGTGCAAAAATCCATTGAAGAGAACTCCTTAAAAAGCAGAATTGGCCAAATGGAAAAAGAGGTACAAAAGCTCACTGAAGAAAATAATTCCTTAAAAATTAGAATTGGAGAAGTAGAAGCTAATGACTCCATGGACTGATGGAAAGTGAAATGAGCAGAATCAGGACAACAGTGTACACAGCAACAGTAGCATTGTACCGTGATCAACTGTGAATGACTTGGCTGTTCCCAGCAGCAATACAAAGATCCAAGACAACTCTGAAGGACTTATGATGAAAAATGCTATCCACCTCCAGAGAAAGAACTGATGGAATCTGAATGCAGAGTGAAGCATACATACTTTTTATAACTTTCTTTTTTTTATTGTCTGTGTTTTCTTTCACAGTATGACTAATATAGAAATATATGTTGCATGAGTATACATGTATAACCTGTATCAAATTGCTTGCCTTCTCAATGAGGAGTTTAGGGAGGGAGGGAGAGAATTTAGACCTCAAATATTTTTTTAAATGAATGTTAAAAATTGTTTTTACATGTAATTGGAGAAAAATAAAGTATTAGAGTTGTTAAAAAAAAATTAAAAAAAATTAAAAAGCAAGTCGGTTCCTTTCTCTGGGCCTTAGTTTCTATAAAATGGAGTTAGATTTGATGATTTCTGCATCCCCAGTGCCTACAACAGTGTCAGGTCCATAGCAGTCACTCAATAAATACTTATTGAATTATATGCTATGATACTGTCCCATGCCTCTCAGCTGGACCATGATCCCCATGGGATCAAGGACTGCCTTCTGCTATTTCTGTGTTAGCCCACGGTCTAAGAGTTTTAGGTCATAGGACTTGCGACAGAGTGTGTGCTTAATAAACAACTGGATTCTGTGAGAGAGAAGAGGTAAACCTCCCTTCCTCTTATCCAATGATCACTCGTTTAGGAGCCAGCTCATCTTCTCCTTCTTCCAGGAGACCTCTGACTGTTCCAGCTCACGTTGATTTTCCCATTCTCTGAACTCTTTTATTACTTACTGTATCCCACACATAGTGACTAAGTGTAGCGGGCTTAAATGTTTCCTGTCTGTAACTGGCTTCCTCAGTTATATACCATAAATTCCTAAGGGATAGAGGCCATCATATCTGGTATTTTTTTTTATATCAACCTTAATGCCTAGCATGATTCTCTGCACACACTAGGTACTCAATAGATGTTTGTCAGATATATATTAACAGTTTGGTTCCTTTTTTCTCTCTATCTCTCCCAAGGACAAAAGGGCCCCTGTGTTTCCTGGATCAAATGATAGTATTTGTAAAACACATCAGCACAGTGCCCGGCACACAGTAGACTCTTAATGAATACTTGTTCTGTTCCCCCTCGTGTTGTGGAAGTTTAACTCCAGTCCTGGTGGAAAGAGCTCTGGTTTGGGAAGTCAGAAGACCTGGGCTTGAGTTCCAGCTTTGATATTGGCTATGTATGTGTCTTGTAAATGCCCACTTATTTGCATGTCGTCTCTGCCATGGAATGTGAGTTCCTTGAGGGTGTCAACATACTTAAACTGTCTTTTGTAAAAAGACCCACAAATTCCTTATTACCTACAGATTCTTCCCTTAGCCATGCATTATTTTGTTCATTCCTTAAACTCTCCTTAAAAATTTAGTATACCATGGTGTTAAACAACACTAACGAGCAATTCAAGATTTTGATTCTGAAGGTACAAATGTTGGGAAAGGGCAAGGACTGTCTTTGCCTGTCTTTGTACCCTAGCACCTAGCACAGTAACTGCTACATAGTAGGGGCTTGATAAATGCTTGTTGACTGACTTTCTGTCACCGTACCTCAAGGGTTTTGAACTTTTTGTTATGAATCTCTCCGTCAGTCTTCTGAAGCCTAGGCTCCCCTTCTCAGTTAGTCATTAAGCATTTATTAAGTACCTACTATGTGCCCAATTACCGTGCTAAGCAGTTGGGGCTACAAAGAAAAGCACTAGACGGTCCATGCTCTTGAGGGGCTCCCAGTCTGATGGAGGAGACAATATGCCAACAACCCTGTACAAACAAACTGTGTTCGGGATAAACTGTTACTAAATATGTAGAATTACAAAGGGAATCAATTGTGTTGAAATAGTTATCAGTGAGTTCACGGACCCCCGTTAAGACTCTTCCCTCCCCACACCCCCACTGTCTTCGATGAGCCTTTTCTCCTGTAAAATGGACACAACAGTACCCACATCACCTGCCTACCTGCGGCACAACCACTTTGCCAGCCTCGATGCCCCTCTCTAAAACATAAGTCTTGTTACTTTTTCAGTCGCTGCTGTTACTGGGGCTCGTGGCCGGCATCTGCTTGGGCCTGAACTTGATCTTCGTCACCGCCTACCTGATTTGCTTGTGCTGCTGTAACCAAGATGAGGACGTACAGACCAAGCAACCCAAATCTTCCTGCGTCACCTGGACCTCTGTGGCGGCTGGACTCATCTGCTGGTGAGTTTCCTGACCTGGAAGGGTAGGGCTGGCGAAAGGTCCCCATGGCCAGCAGGGCCCCTTGTGGGGCAGCAGGGGCCTGGCCTTGGGCAGTGCTCTTCTGTTAAATTTGGTTTCTGATTTGGAGCCGTCTGAGTCGTGCAGTCATGACCAGGGGGAGCCTGATCCTATGTTAGATGCCTCCCTACCCAGTGCTCCTGCCAGGATCCCCTCATGACTGGGCTGGGCATTGTTTAGTTGTTTTTCAGTTGTATCTGACTCTTTGTGACCCCATTTGGGGTTTTCTTGGCGAAGATACTGGACTGGCTTGCCGTTTCCTTCTCTGGCTCATTTTATAGATGAGGAAACTGAAGACAAACAGAGTTAAGTGACTTACCCAGGGTCACCTAGCCAAGGTCACTGAGGCCAGATTTGAACTCAGGAAGAAGAGTCTTCCTGACTCCAGGCCAGGTGCCACCTAGCTGCCTCATGACTGGGCTAGTTTAATGTGAACACAGAAATATTTTTCCTTAAAAAAGAAAACCTCAACTTATTTACTATCAAATAATTAAAATCCTGAGCAAATGGATTATATAGATTAGATGACTTTAGAAATCATACAACAAACATTTCTTAAGTGTTTACCATGTGCCATTGGTGGCACAGTGGATGGAGTGTTGGGCCTGGAGTCAGGGAGACTCATCTTTGTGAGTTCAAATCTGGCCTCAGATACTTACCAGCTGTGTGACCCTGGGCAAGTCACTGAATCCTGTTTGCCTCAGTTTCCTCATCTGTAAAATGTGCTGGAGAAGGAAATGGCAAACCACTCCAGGATCTTTGTCAAGAAAACCTCAAATGGGGTCATAAAGAGTTGGACATAATGGAAACAATTGAACAACACCAACAAGGTGATTTTAGTAATCTCCAGTGGGAGAAGGGAAAATGAGGCTGGCATAGCAGAGGAATGTTTGGGTTGAGAATGCCACAAGGGGAGCAGGTGAATGTTCCAGGGTGAGGAGGAAAGTTTGAGGGCGAGACTGCAGCTGAGTAATAGTGTTAAAATTCAGAAATTCAATAAAGAACAAAGTCCAGAAAATCAACTGACAGTAGAATGAAGATTGGCCTTCTTTAATCAGGAAGGATGGGTAATTCCACAGCTGGCTTGGGTTTTGTCAACCCTAAGCAAAAACCGCCAGCAAAGACTCCCTAAATAATTAGTCTGGCACTGCACTGAACATATTATTCACTGGGCAGCTATCCCGGAGTTAGGTGCTTTTCTGACCTCTGCCCCTATCCATCCCCTTTTCTTTCTTCTGAATGCTGTTCTTGGACAGTAGATCAGGACAAAGCCAGATTCTAGCCCAGAATCAATTCCATCTTCAGAGTGGATCAATACCTTTTAATGCATTAGTCAGTTCTTTCAAGATGTTTTGGAAGAAAGGATAGAAATTTGAGATTTTAATGCCGAATACCCTGCCTCCCCATCCCTTTCACTATTGGACAGTAAGAGAATCCTCTGCATCTGTGTCTTCTGTGAGTTTTTCTTTGTGGGTCAGTTAGCATCTGCAGAGGTTTTTTCCAAAAGGTTAATGAAATACCCCACATTTACTAAAAATAGGGAATGGCATACCATGTATAATTTTTAATTCCTTTTAAGAATATCTGCTGCCCTTAAGTAGTCATATCAGGAAATATTATCCTCTTTAACAGTAATAATAGCTGGTGCTGACAATGATGGGGTGCTTGGGCCCCAGCCCTAAGATCATGTCTCTGGAAGCCTCCCAGTTTCTCAGTTTGCCACTTGACTAAGAGAAGGCTTGAGTATGTGAATTTGTTCTAGGCAGTCTGTCTTGGCATTCTTGGGATCTCAGCACCCCTAACCTCTTCAATAGCGTGATTTGGTACAGCAAAAAGCATGTTGGACTAGGAGTCATGTGACCTGGGTTTCAATCTCAACTCCACAATTTGAAGGGACCTTTGAAATTATTCTAATCCAACCTCAGCATTTTACGTGTGAGGAAACGGTGTCAGAGAAGGAAAGTGGTTTGTCCCACAATTACATAAGGTTTAGGGGCATGTGGAATCTGTCTTCCAATATTTGAAGGCTGCCATGTAAAAGAGAGATAAGACTTAATTCTACTTGAACCCAGAGGGCAGAACTAGAAACAGTGAGTGGAAGCTTGAAGTGTTTCAGCTCAGTGTAGGGAAGACCATTCTAACAGAACCTGTCCAGCAGTGGTGCTGGCTTATGAAAGGGCAAATTCTTCATCACTCACAGTCTTCAAGCAAAGGCTGGCTATCCTTCCAAGGATGTTGTAGGGAGGGGAATCAACTGCATTGGGAATCAGCCTTTAATGTCCCTTTCAGCTCTGAAATGTATCAAAATTTTGACCAGTGGGGAAATACGGGATGGGAGGTATGGGAATCTTAAAAGGTGAAACGGTGACCTTCTAATCAAGGATAATCCTGAAAAAGGGAGGCATGAAAAGAAATTAGTGTGGCTGCTTAGGGAAATCCCTAATGAACTCTTATTTATTTTAAAGGACCTATGCAAAAGAAGGAAATGAAAATGTCTAATATAGAAAGTTTACTGGGGTGAGAAATCATTGCTGGCACCTAAGTTTGTGCTTCCCTTCTCCTGGCTGTCTATTCAGACCTGGCCAAAACCTTCACCATTATGGGGGTAGAGTAGAGGGGATAGGTTTTCTAGCAAACACCAGAATCAGGTTCTCTTTTTTCTCCTGTCCTTCCCCTTACCTCTAACTTTTTTTTTTTTTGGTTCTTATGCATAGCGCTGCAGTGGGAGTTGGTTTCTATGGAAACAGTGAGACCAATGATGGGGTATACCAACTGGTCTATTCCTTGGATAATGCCAACCACACCTTCTCAGGCATTGATGAACTGGTAAGGATATTGGGATGGGCATTACCACTGTTGTGCTGTTGTGAAGGCAGTGAAGGCAAAACAGATCCTAGAGTTAGTTTGCCAAGGTCTCCTCTGAGTTCCCAACATAGGGGTGTGCACTGTGTGCCTCTTTCAATTTTTGCTTGAGTTTCCCTTTCCATGAGCATGGAGTAAAGGCCTGTCCTCGGGTCCAACAAAGAAGACAGGAACAGGAGTGATAAGGGAACTATTTTAGTTGGGTAGACTGTGTGGGGTAGAAAAGGCCCCAGACATTGCCTAAAGAAGGATCTAATTGCACTTATTTTCAGAAGTGCCTAAAGCCATCCCTTTATGACTCTCTTAAGGGACCTTTGTGGCCAACTCACATCACTTTCTAAACTCTTTTTCTCTTTTCCTTCAAGTGTCAGACGTTGAAACTATGAAGAGAGCAAAGAAATTCTGGTTCTCTCACCAAAAAAAGCATCTTCTTACTCAGTTTAGGATATTAATAGAGTCTTTAAAGAGCATACATGTGAGCAGGATGTTTAGCATCTATGGCAGGGGTTTTTAACCAGGGATCCATGAAGTTTACATGAGTGTATGTGTGTATAAATATATATATATATATATATATATATATAAAATGTATATGTGTGTGTGTATGTATATATGTGTGTATATGCACACACATATATATGTAACTATATCAATATAACCAGTATCCTTTACAATCCTACATATTTCATTTTATTCTTTTAAAAACATGATTCTGAGAAGGGGTCCATAGACTCTTATCAGATTGCCAAAGGGTTCTGTGACATAAAAAAAGGGTTAGGAATCCCTGATTTAGTGTTTTCTGGGTGTATTCTTAGGTCAAGGGCTTCAGGCTGACTGATTTGAGCGATAGGCTTCTTTTAAAAAAAATAGATTTTACTATTATCTTTTGTTTTTACATTGCCTACTTTCCTCTGTATATCTCTCCTCTTCCTCTCCCAGAGAGGAATCTCTTTATGACAAAAGCTTTTTTTTTTTAAGAGGAAAAAGCCAGGGTAGGGGGTGGGGTGAGAATTCAACAAATCTGATCAACATAGAAAAAAATGACATATTATGTTCTGTGTGTGGACACCAACTTTGCAAAGGAGGGGAAGGAGATGTTTTCTCATACTTCTTCTTTGGGATAAAGTTTGCTCTTTATAATTTTGCAACATTCAGTTTCATCTGTTTTGTGGCAGTGGCTCTTTCTATTTACGTTTTTTTGGTCCTCCTTTTGTTGTTTTCTTAACTGCTTATTTCACTTTGCATCAGTTTGTGTAAGTCTTTCCAAACTTGTCGATACTCGTCATGTTTCTTACAAGATAGTCAGTTCTTCCATAGGGAATGTATTCCTACCAGTGGAATCTCTGATGAAAGGTATGGACATTTAGTCACTTTATTTGCATCATACCAAATAGTTTTCCAGAGTGTTTGTACCAATTCGTGACTACCTTGCATGACTACATGACCGTAATGCACTGATATGCCTACCTTTCCATAGCCCTTCGATTGACTGTTCCCAGCTTTTGTCATCTTTGCCAGTTTTCTGGGTATGGGGTTAAATATCTGAGATGTTGTTGTTGTTATTGTACATTGTTGTTGTAATTTGGAGCATTCTTTCATATGGTTGTTAATAGGCTGTAATTATTTTGAAGTTTGTTCATATCATTTGACCACTTATCTATTAGGAAATGGCTTTTGGACTTATGTATTTTTATTATATAAAATGGATATCAAACCCTTATCAGAGTTGTCGGTGCAAATATTTTTCCTAGTTGATCTCATGCTACATCTTATCCTAGATGCTAGTTTTGCTTGTACAAAAGCTTTTCCATTTTATTTAATCAAAATTGTCTATTTTAGCGTATATAATTGCTGCTATCCCTTGTTTGAATAAAAATTCTTCCCCTACCCATCGCTATGAAACACACATGCTAATTTTAATGGTATGATCTTTAATATTCAGTCACATATCTATTTTGAATTTATTGTGTAATATGGTGTAAGAAATTAGTCTAAACCTGATTTCTACCAGATAAGCCATAGGTTCTTAGGAAATAGAGAAGAGGCCAGATGTTGTTAAATGCTGACCCTGAACATGGAGGTAAACGCTTCATCTCAGGATTCAGAAGTTGTCCCCGAATAGGTCTGAGGTTTCTGCTCTCCTAGATGTGACAACTTGTCCCATGTTATGGAATTGAGGGGAAGAGGATACAGGAGGAAAGGGGAGCGGTTTGAGCTGAAGGGAAATGGGATGATTGGACATTTACCCTCCGTAAGACTCCTGCAGATTTGATCCCGTTGTGACTGATAACCAAGGCAACGGCAAATTCTGAGCCTCAGAAGATCCAGAAGCTCTGGCTAATGTTAATGTCCTCCTTATTCAAGTCTGATCACTACCAAGAGGACTCTGCCCTTGAGCTCACTGTAACAGAGTTTGACCTATATTTATTTGCGTGTTCTCCTACCCCTCCTGCTATAAGCTGTTCATAGGATATAATCCCTTGGTCTCTCAGAAAGAGCTCATCTTAAAGAGGCAGCTGTTCTTTTTCCAAATTCATAGCATCACAGATTTAGAACTGGAGGGGACTTTAGGGGTCATTGAGTCAAATCCTCTTGTTTTATAGACCAGGCAACTGAGACTGAGAGGAGGTAGATAGCAAGTAGTATTGTCCCCATTTTACAGATAGAAAATCTGAGGCTTTGAGATGAGAAGGGATTTGCTCACCTCTAGATACATGACTCCACCAGAGGACCCAGGATCAGGTGGCCACCTCTAGAGAAATCTGTTTCTCTGGGACAGAGGGATGTATGTTAAACAATAGAAGAATGAGATTGTAAAGAAGAGATACAATGTCTGGGGAAAGAGAATTCTCATGTATTGATTCCCTATCCATTCCAACTTCCACTGGTTCCTACTGCTAAGCCCTGGAGATTTAGGGTTAATGTCCCTGTGTCTAGAAAGGATTGGGTGTAAATCACTTAGATGAAGGGGTAAAGGGAGATGTGGTTGAGATTCAAGATTGGAGAAATTTGAGAAAGGGCACAATTAGCAGTAGTGGCTGGAGCCACCAGGATGGGAAGAATTGAGAAGCATGTCACCAAAGTTTGGAGTGTTAATAATAATTTACATTTCTATAGCACTTTAGGGCTTTATAAAGTGTTTTACATATTTATTTTTTCATTTGTCCTCTCACAACAGTTCAGAGGTAGATAGCAAGCATTATTGTCCCCATTTTACAGATGGGAAATCCGAGGCTGAGAAGTAAGTGAAGTATGAGTGTCCTGAGATCATACAGCCAGTAAGTGGAACAGTCAGGATTTAAACCCTGCTCTCCTGACTCCAAATTATATGATCTTCCCATTATATCACGACTGCCTCCAGAAGCAATCATGACAGCTGAATTTGATGTAATTCAAAATTTGGAGTGAGCATGAATTTCCTGGATAGTTTTACCTTTATTTTCCCCATATCAGCTGCCTTGCACTGAAGGAATGCCGGGGGGATTCTTCTGTAGGCATTTTGAATGCTGTCCAGAAGCTTGAAGAGCTAGCTCTAGCCTCCCTCCACCCAACCCTCATTGGTGGAGCTGAGAGCAATTGGTCTAACCATTCTAGAAAGCAATTTGGAATGATGCGCAAAAGTTACTGAACTGTGATGCCCTTTGACTCAATACCCATGCTCAGTTGATATTCTGGGGAGTATTTTCATAAATGCTTAACAACCTGTTCTCCTGAAAAAATGTGCCTGCCATGTATTTTTAAGTTTCATCTGATTTATTCACATTTTCTCCATCACTTTTTAAAGTATAAAACAATCAACAAAACAAACCCAAAGCCTGCTTTGCAGTGTTTGCTGACTTCAGAGATGTAAATGCTCATGCTGGAAATCTAACAATTGGCCCTTGTGAGCAGTTACAGGCTAGCATCAGCACACCCCTGCTTGTGCCTCGAAAAAATCAAAGAAAAAGGAAAAGGTCCTATACGTGCAAAGATATTTATAGCAGCTCTTTTTGTGATGACAAGAAATGGAAACAAAAGGAGATGCCCATCACTTGGGGAACAGCTGAACAAATTCTGATAGAAGTTGGAATGTAATGGGAAATTATTGCTCTGTAAGAAATTAGGGAAAAGTCAGTTTTAAAGAGATGTGGAAAGACTTGTGTGAACTGATCCACATTACTGTTTAACATTTGTGCAGGAACTGAGTCTCAGAAAGAGGAAGCCTGGCCCCCACTGGGAAGCCTCAAAACTATGAACTTGAACTTGCGTGCTTAGACATATGACTAGCATGTGGAGAATGTGCTGTGTCTCCTTCTGCATTGTGGAGTGGGGGATGGGAAAAGATGAAATATCCTTTTTATCTCCGTCTTATAGCCTACCTCGGGAAGTAGACTTTCTGGCCCTTTGGGATTTATGGGTAAGATCCAGATATAGAAAGGAAATACTGGGGTGATGCAGGGGATCTCGATGGAGAGAAGGTTATAAAACAAAACTTTCCACCTCATAGGATCCTTTGCCCAGTTGCCCTTGGGCCCTGGTATAGCTCTAGAGTCTTGGGATATTTCTCTTCAGTTTCCTACAATCCACTAAATCCTCAAAGGGTAGAACTATGTGTTTGCCCTATAATTGTTCCCTCTGTCTCTATCCCAGCTGAATGTATTACTACTGAGAAGAGCCTTCTGTCTATAAGCTGTTACTGTGTCATTGTTTTCATGCCTTATTCTCATTTTCTCTCCCTCTCCCTTTTCTGGAAGCAATCAGGTTAAGTGACTTGCCCAGGGCCGCACAGCTAGTAAGTGTCTGAGGCCGAATTTGAACTCAGGTCCTCCTGACTCCAAGGCTGGTACTCTGTCCACTGTGCTACCTAGCTACCCCTCATCCCTTATTCTCAAACTCGGGACTGGGGGGCTTTGAGGAACAACTCTCAGAGAGTCTGTTGGTAGTTTGGGGTAAGAGGGAAAAACCCAAAAGGTACCTAGTACTTT